TCACTTTCAAAACTAGACAAAATCAAATCCTACAAATGATACTCTCTAGGAAGAATGAGAGAGATATTATACTTCTATAAAGAAAATTAATTCTAGTGCATATGATGCTAATACAAACTATTACCATAGAAGAACTTCTCTCTACAATAAGGGATATACCAAAACACAAAGCAACTAGACCTTTAATGATCTCTAATGAAATACTTCAATACTTTCCTCCATCAGCACTTACATATTTTCTTAAGATATTTAATGCATGCCTCTTACTCGAACAACTCCTCAAACAATAGCTAAATTCAAACATATAGCCTATTCCAAAAAAAATACAATATACTTTCAAGCTAAATACAACAAGACCTATCATACTAATTGATCACACTAGGAAAATATTTACTAAAATTATCACCAATAGGCTATCAAATATTCTTGACAGATACAATATCCTCTTTCTACTAAATTATGCAGTATTCCTACAACAATCGACTCTTTAACCAATATCCTAACTCACATCCATAATTGACATGCTTATACAAAACAGGAAGAAGTTTAGCTCTTACTACAAAATATGTCAAAGGCATTTGACTTAATTCATATACCTACACTCATCAAAGCCTTACACAGAATCCAAATTCCTAAATCTATAGTTAATCTCCTAATATTCTTACTCTCTAATCGTACTAATCAAGTAATCACAGACTTCAGACTCATGAAACTATACCTAGTACATGACAAAATTGATCAAGGAGAAACCTTTTCTCCACTCTTATAGAAGATTTACTATAACCCACTAATATCTTATATACATAACGAACATTTAGGATACTAAGAAACAATCTCATCGATACCCACAACAAAACTGATACATACATCAATTATGGCATATATGGATAACTCACTCTAGGTAGCACACTCAAAGAATTCTCTTCAGAAGATCCTCTCGATAGCAAATTCTTTCTACAAATTCACTAGAATCAAAGTCAACCTATCAAAATCAATACTTGCTACAAACTCCATTTTGGACAACAAAGATATTACTTTTAATGAAGAAAATATAAGTGTGATTAACAAATCTAAATCATTTAAATATTCAGGAGCTTGGTTTTCTTTTACTCCTAATCTAACAAACAACTAAAAAATGATAATCTCTGAAGCTAATTCTTGCATTACCAAATTACAAAAATCACATATTACTGAGAAACAAGTAATATATATTATTAATAATGTTATAATACCTCGGATCTTATATCATCTTAACAGTTCTTTTCTTTCTACCTCACAACTAGCCACACTTAATCACTTAAATACAAATATAGTAAAACAAAAAGCAAGACTATCACGTAGCCTCTCTAACTCTTTTCTTTACTACTCAGAGATTTATGCATTGAAAGATATAATACAAGTTCAAGAATTATACCTATCTACTACACTCTTACAGAACCTAAATTACCCAAACTTTAATTTATCATTTCTTAAAATTTGATTATAACAACTACAAGACTCTACAGTATCAAACTTTTCGATACTTATATACCTCCTACTATTACCAAAAAAACAAAAAGATACCTATACAGGACAATCAATCCTTGCGATTCACTCTCTACACATCTAGTTTCTAAGGAATGAGGAATTAAACTGGCTAATTTCTCTTAAAACCAAAGGCATACCTATTAACAAAATATTAACAAACCACCCTCAGGCACATATATTAAAACAACAGCTGAATAAGTATTCTATATATTATATTGAACAGTTTCTTAACCATAATAATTCAGAACTCCTTAATTGGCAAGAATTTTACCACAATATACTCAAGATACTGAGAAGACAAATACCAAAGTAGTTCACAGAAATACAAGAGCTAATTAGATCAACAGCAAATCCTACAACTTTACTTGTTTATCCTAACCCATTCACCTTAACGAAATGGGTACTTAAGAAAAAATCTTGGGTCCTTACTCATGACTTTCTACTAGGACGTACCAATCACTTTGATAACTACTATGTAACTATTCACCACTATAATCGCTTAATTAATAATATACTTTTTCTATGCCTAGGATGCATAAAAAAAGATTCAATATCTAAAACAAAAGGATACTACTTTAAACACAAGATTGGAAAACTCTATACTATACAAGTAGACTCATACAAAAGACTACATGCTAACTTCAACAATCTAACTTTAGTTAAACCTATCATCATCACAACTGAAAAGAAAATACTACTGCCTCCTACTAAACTTAGTCATCCACTAAATACATTTTCCTCATTTAATATCAACTGGTAGAATACTCTGTCAGCAAACAATTCCTCTACACGTGCCTCCTTAATCTACATATCTTTATCTCCTAATTTACCATACTGTAACAACAAACTAATAGCAATTGCTTTACTTAACTACAATACAACAACATGGGGCTGTTACAATAGTAGCTGGCCTGATAGCTCTCAAGCATATCTCACTTTATTTGCTTTTCTAGCAACAACATTCCTTCTAAATACAAATATCTCAATTACCTCAAATAATTCTTCTTTTATTCAGTTATTAGAAAATACTACAAAACTACTGATACACACATTAGCATCACTAGACATATCACACTATATTTTTATTTTGCTTACAATTAAAGCGATAATATCTCTACTCAATCTTTCCTTTAACATCGACAAAGAATTTAAACATACAGAAAAATCTGACAATCTCATGAAGCTCGATATAAAACCTCAAGAATTTCTATTCAACCGATTTATTCTATGCCTACTATTATCTACTTGCACATACCACCTTTGTACTATTACAAAAGACAACCTTAGAATTACCAATTGTCTAAAATAGGCAAATTAAAATTGAATCAAATATTAGACTATTAACATCAGAGATATCCATGGCCTAGTACACTGAAATATTTATCATTTGAAGAAAAGCCACTATCTCTATAGACTAATCCCGCATACTCTAAACTAAAAAATTTTAAGGTCAAATTATTAGCAGAAAAACTTCCTAATTATCTCACTCTATATTATTGAAATCCATCAAAACACAAAAACTATCTTTGTCCTCAGTGCTCTAAAGAACCTGAAAACAATGCACACTTAATTTCCTGCATCTGAAACTCAACATCAATAGACTTTCTTATCTGAGACACCATATTAATAATATCTCAAGAACTGGATCTAACAGCAACAAATACTTTTGAATTTATTTTAGCATTCAAATACCTCTATATTTAACAAGAAATTCCCTTAGAAATAATTACTTTTGCAACTCTAGCTCCATTTGACAAATACTCAGACAAAATTAAATTTGTGCCTCTAATTCACCATCTGATTATAAAATCTATATATCATGAAATCTGACTACCTTCTCGACAAATTGCTCATACAGAAGAGCTTCCTACTCCAGCACCACTTATAATAACACCTCCTTCTACTACTATTCCACTTTCTCATTCACATATTATACAAAAATTGCAACAATATACAAATATTGGATGAAAGTTTCTTACATTAATATACGAAGACTAGTGGTCTATGACCTTGTTAGCACAGTCTAGGTCGAGAGTAAATTAGCTCTTACCCCTACCTCCCCTTTTTTCTCTTAATTGTATACATGTAATACTGCTTGTATCGTTTTATCTGAATTAAATAAAGAGTTAGAGAATAGACCTCGTTGTTTAAAAAAAAAAACAAAAAAAAAAAAACAAAAAAAAAAATCACTTAACATATATAACTCAAAGATGAAATTGAAATACCCAAACTGCTACTTCAAACACACCAAGACATTACACAAATACTGAAACGACTGATTAACCAATTCGCCAAATTTCTAATCTTTAATTATTTAACAAGTCAATTAAGATGTGTCAAATGCATTAATGCTACTTTAAAGTAATTTAAATAAGTTGGTTTAAATAGTAACTGCACTCTGAAGTTTGAAGTACTTTACAGTATATACGTATCTGCAAATACTTTATATATATAGAGTACGCTGTAAAAATGGTCCGGTCCATATTCAGCTAGAAGTGGGTCCTGTACTCTATTACCGATCGAATGAATACTTGCAGTTCTTGGGATTTATAAAGGAGCCGAGTCCATCTAGGATTTAGGTCCCCCATATAACCATCATGTGATTTAAGGAAACAGATCCTTTAAAGAATCCAAAGGACCCCTAAATCGGATTAAAACAAAATCCTTGCGCCTCCTTAAAGCCTATAAAACCTACTTTACTCTTTTATTTAAAAAAATTTTAAAATTCATATTAAAGTTATATCTGTCACATTATAATTAGATCTATATAATATTAAATATAAATTTTAGGTTTTGTGTATAGGTAAAGCATTATATATACGAATAACAAACAAGAAATAAGCCAATAAAAGTTTCAACCATGTCATTTTATCATTGATTTACTAAACCATATTTGAAGTGATGCATTTTGTAATACATTTGTGTTTCACAGTTTGTTTAGGAAAACGAATCGCCCATTGAGAAATTTAAAAATTAATGTACTTCTTGTCGTTTGTATGTAGTTTATAATATCTATGACCCCTCGACGATCTTCAGAATTGGACGTCACACCACCTTTACCGCTTCGCCCACCTACTCCACCAGGTCATTCGCTTACTGGTGCGAGTCAAAAAAGGAAAAAATCCCGTGAAGAAAAAGAATCATTTTTTTCATTGTTTTGGTCAAGTTCTCGACCTTCTTCACCGAACCATGATCCTGGGCATCAGTCTATGAATAATCAACCAACTAGTTCCAAAGGAAAAGCTGGCCATACACGTAAACTTTCAGCCGGCAACCTTAAAGCTGCTCTAACAGTACCTGACGAAGACGGGCCAAGAAGGAGGTCTTTTGATTACGTTCAGTCTGATATGAACAATCGATATTTCCCTCCTCCAGAAGAAATTGCCCCATTTATGTATCAAACTGCGGAAAGTGCACAGAGTTCATCTGTCACTCTGTTTACTAATTCTGATTCATATTCCTCTAAACACAAGCGGACTAAGAGTTCAGATAGCGATACTATTAGTGTGATATCTTCTGCTAGCAACCTTATTGTCAATTTACCTATTAAAGAAGAAAGAGAAAAAAAGAAGAATATATTTAATATTTTCAGGAAAGGCTCCAAGGATAAAGAGTCCTCAGCACCTGAAGGTTTGTTTGTCCGATCCGTGAGTGATCTCTTTATTCATGCGCATACATATCCATAATTCCTTGTTACATCTGGCGCGTGTATAATTATTTCTTTAATGTATCATATTTCATGCGCATATAGCTTTCAATACACGCATATATTTTGTTAGAAGTGTTCACAATTATAATATTTTTTACTTATAAAATTTAAACCCCGATAAATAACTTTACAGGAATATCTCGTAAAAATTCAAATTCAGATTCTCATCAGAATTCTTTACTTACGCCTCATGACCAGAGAGATGATCATTTGTCTAAAAATGAACACTATCATCATCCTTGGAGAAAGAAGGAACATAAATCAGTAAAAAAGCAGAAGGTATTAGTTTGTACTTGTATAAATAAAACTTGTAAAAAAATGATTTTATTTTTAAACAAATTTGGACTGATAAGAAATCATAAAATTAAGTTTCTGCTAAGTCTAATATATCTATATCACTCTTTTTTTTTTTTTTTAAGGAAACTGTCGCATGTGAAACAATAAACTGTAATACATCAAAATGTTTTTGTTCTTAAGACAAATCTGAATATATCCTAACTAATTATTCACATTTACTTTAGTGAATTTAAATCCTGATGACATGAAAGACATTATAAAAACCGAAAATCGGAACTCGAGTGTATCTTATAAATTATTGGATGACTTTTTGCAAGAAAACCCAGCTATAGAAAGGACCCAATTTCCATCGAATAGAGCAGAAAATTGGACTGCTCCTGAGTCATGGGCAGTAAATTTATCTTATGATCATGAAATTCCGATAGAAAAGGATGTTCGTGATAGTCCTAATTTTGAAGATAAAAATGATTGGAAACGATTAGTATGTATAATTACATTGCATATTTATAATAATATGTTAACGCCTAATTGACCTTTTTTCCTTTATATAAGTTTTGCATTCGTATATTTCGCCCTGATGCCACTTTCGGCACGGTTAATTGTGGATTGAAAACTACTACTTCTGAATTATGCCAAATGCTTGGTAAAAAATTTTTTATCCAGGATATTTCAAAATATAATTTATATGTGATGAGACACAATTTGGGTAATTATAGTGCTATCATTAGGTAAATTATTGGACATTACATTGGCTAATTATTTTTTTATTGGCTTTAAGAACGTGTGTTAAAGTCTCACGAACGACCTTTGCAATTACAAAAGAGATGGTTAGAACAAGCGGGATATACAGTACATGATAATTTGGAAGATCTTGGTAGAGAGGATAACAGCTACTTAGTTCGTTTTACCTTCCGTGAAACTACTGTACCAAGATTTGAGGTATGCTTATTAAACATTAAACATTTTATGAATAAATTTATTGGTTAATTACTATTTACTATTTTTATAAACTTATCAGGAAGAAGGCAACTTATCTACTTTCCAACATATGGATCTTCAATCCCGCAATTTACAAACAATACCTATATTTCTTTATCGACATGCTTATAATATTCAATCATTAAATATTTCTCAAAATTTAATGCTCGATCTGCCTATGGATTTTATACAGTCTTGTACACAGTTACGCGAGCTTCATCTTTCACAAAATGACTTGGAGCATGTTCCACAATCAATTAAACAAACAGAAATGCTTTCTTTTCTTAATCTAAATTCGAATCGCTTGAAAGAATTGGAACATGGATCATTGGAAGTGATTGGGGAACTAACAAATCTTCAAGTCGAAAACAATTTATTACTAAGATTACCAGATAAATTTGCAGAGTTTACGAAATTAAGTATCATAAATGTTGCCAACAATTCATTTTCAGTTTTTCCCCAAGTTATTTGCAATATTGTGACGCTTTCAGAACTGGATTTAAGTTATAATAAAATCACCTATATACCAGAAGAAATTGGAAATCTTGTCAACCTTAAACGGTTGTTCGTTATCGGAAATCAAATAACAGATAAATTACCTGAAAGCTTTCAAAAACTAATTTCTTTGCAAGAATTGGATATACGTCGTAACAAAATAACAAGTCTAGACACGATATCTCTAATTCCCAATCTTGAAATTCTTCTGACTGAATTTAACAATGTATCAATAGTGGACATCTCCTCAAAATCATTGAAAAAACTTACTCTGTCCAAAAATCATCTTACTCAATTCTCGTTGAAGGAAACGGGACCTTCATTAATAGAACTTTCATTGGCATATGCAAAACTTGTTGCTTTACCGGTTGAGTTGTTTGAACACCTTTTATCCGTTCAAAAATTTGACCTTCGAAATAATCAGTTGACATCAATTCCAAAAACAATTCAATTTATGACGAATTTAACACATTTAACATGTATATGTAATACTCTTCAGACATTGCCAAGTGAAATTCGTCATTTAGTCTCTTTACATACTTTGGACATTCATTTCAATAATCTTGCTTCTCTCCCACAAGAGATTTGGCTTTGTCAAAGTTTAACCATTTTAAACGCTAGTTCAAATCTATTGGAGCAATTTCCAGCACCTCCAACCACATTGTCAACCGATCCTTCGTCACGTTCTCGTCAATTTCCACTCATTCGTTCACTTCGTGCTTTGTATTTAGCTGATAACCTTCTTACTCCTGAAATATTTCCCTATATTCCATTGTTTTCAGAACTCGAGGTTTTGAATATCTCATTCAATATGTTAGATCAAATTCCACAAGGAGGAATTTCTAATCCACATTTAACAGAATTATATCTTTCTGGGAATCAATTGTCATCACTTCCAGAAGATATTGAAAAGTTAACTAGTCTGAGAGTTCTACATGTAAATGGCAACAGGTTAACAACATTACCTGCCGAATTGAGTAAAATAAGAAAGTTGGTGGTTCTTGACGTAGGTAATAACTTTTTGAAATATAATATCGCGAATTGGCAGTATGATTGGAATTGGTAAGCTGATATTTAAGTAAATTATTTGTTTTTAAATACCTTAATTTCAATTGATCATATATATTTATATAGGAACTGGAATCTTGAGCTTAAGTATCTTAATCTCTCGGGCAACAAAAGATTTGAGATAAAACATGTACATCAACATGAAATAAACCCGCTTCGAGGTCGGAATTTAGCGGATTTTGGAACGCTTACTGGTTTGAGAGTTCTTGGTCTCATGGATATTACACTTTTAAATTTTCTGGTTCCCGAAGAAAATAATAATCGTCGTGTACGGACATCAGCTTCGGTAGTAAATTCTATGAGATATGGTATGGCGGATACATTAGGAAAGTCAGATAATCTTTCAACATGGGAAGCTGTAACGCCAAAGTTTCGTGGAAATGAAGACGAGTGTCTTTTTGTACTTTTTGATGCTCGTGCTGGGTCCAATCAAGGTGGTCAAGTTACCAAAAATTTGCGCGATTGGTTCTCCATTCATTTCAAAACTGAGCTCAACAAACTGAGGGACAATGATTCGGTAGAATCTGCTTTGCGACGATCTTTCTTGAGCTTAAATAAAGAACTCGGTTCAAAGTTCTTCAGAGAGAGAGAAAAAGAAAGAGAGAATTCAAGCACGGAAATGGACCTTTTTTCTAGAGATACGGAAAGTGGATATCACCACACTTCGGGTATTGATGATAATAAGTCAGGTGCCTCTGGGTTAGTTGCTTATATTTCCGGAACTACATTATATGTCGCAAATGTTGGAGATGCTGTGGCAATAATTAGTCGTGGAAAAAAAGCTTATCCAGTCGCACAATGTCCTGATGTTTTTAGCGAAATTGAAAGAATAAGGCAATCAGGAGGATATATGTCGCACGATTGCTTTGTTAATGGAGAATTGGATGTGTCTCGATCATTTGGTCATTTTCATTTGACACCAATTATCAATGCTAACCCTGTAACGGAGATAGTTCAACTCTCGGAACAAGATGAATTTTTAATCCTTGCTACTCGTGAATTATGGAATTATATAACTTATCAACTTGCAATAGATATTGCTAGAACAGAGAAGAATAATCTCATGTTAGCAGCTCAAAAATTGCGAGATTTCGCCATTTCCTATGGTGCAGATAAAAATATTATGGTAATGATTATAGGTGTTGGAGATTTGTTTGGCCGTCGTTTTTCTAAGCGAATAACAGGAGGATTGGAAAGGAAGGGTGATGAAGTAGGTACAATAAAATTTTTTGGTAATAACAGATCCAAGAGAGCGCACACATTGAGGATCGAGTAATCGATTGGTTACAATAGGCACATTCTTTATTACAAAAGAAACAACGTTAAATTCGACTTTGAAAACAAAATAAAGAGATAAAGGTAACAATAATAGGTAAAATAATTACATCTTTTTCTAATCTACCTTTAAGCCTTTCCGGAAAAACCTATTATAAAAAAAATAATGATTTACATATGCTGAACAAACAATGAACACAATCAATCTTTTTTATTGCATTTTAACCACTTACTAACGACAATATTTCAGCATTTTCTAATCCCTTAAGCTTTTTTTCTCCAATTTTCTTTATAATAACTCCCATTTTATTCAAAGTAATTACATTCTTATCTACCGCATTGTTTGACGGTCCTTGTACTTCTTCATCATCGCCAATATTTTTACTACCAGAACCTCCATGCATAAAACCACTAATTTCTGACTCTACATCAGAACTCACACATATTTGTCCACCATCTGCTGCATTACAAATTCTTGCAGCTCTATTAACCATAGGTCCGAAATAATCCATTCGTTTCGTTACTATATCAAGTTCAAATACTGGAGTGCCACAATGTATACCCATTCGAACTGATAGACCTTTATATATCACTTCCTTATCATGCTCATAACAAATTTCTTTTCCATCTTCTGATGCAATTATTTCTTTTGGCCAATCAGCTTTCAAAAGCTCAATCTGTACTGTAAAACACCATAAAAGTGCTGATGCTACTGTCGGAAAAGATACCATAAAAGCATCCCCTTCGGTTTTTACTTCATAACCACCAATATTTCGGAGATGACGACGCATAATGTTATTATGAGATTTAATTGCAGAACGCATTGCTTCTTCTGGCATTGTTTCCCAGAGAAACGTAGAATTTTTTATATCAGTAAAAACTAGCGCAATTTGTCCAGTTGGTGGTGCAATTTCTGCTTCTAATCGTGCTATCATATTATCACTTGGTATTTCATCTCTTCTTCTTCTATTACTGTTATTACCAAAAAATTTTATTGTACCTACTTCATCACCCTTCCTTTCCAACATATGGATCTTCAATCCCGCAATTTACAAACAATACCTATATTTCTTTATCGACATGCTTATAATATT